CATATCCCCGGAGCCCACTCTCATTTGCCGTTGGAATGTGATTTAGATTGATAATGTCACTTGGGACTCAAGTAAATGTGTCATGTACGTCTAACAACAAATCTTGGACAACCAGAACTGGACTGATAAATATATTGAAAACTGTTTCATTTTATTAAATTAATTAATTTATTAAATTCTCTCTAGTAGAAATGCAGTGGCTTACTTAAATACTGTGATAAAGGTACATACATTTTGTAATGGATGATAATTTGGCTAAAAAAATATGAAAAGTCGCAACAATTATTTGGTCAGCTGGGTTATAACAGGCATGTCTATATTTGATAATGTTTCATACATTCTGGCTTCCAATAAAAATGATTGGGAAATTTGTATCACTTTATTTGTTGGGTGGGGAAACCAAATTTATTTGTTGGTATTAACAGCGTAAGCTGTGGTATATGTGTATAAACCAGTTTTATTTTCTAAATTTCAATCGACATCATTTTTATTACCACAATCAAAAAATATTGTGATTTCTTTGAATATTTAGTAATAACAGGGGAATTTAAGACATGAACAGATTCACGTGTACATAAGACGAACATTGCCTTGGGTTTGACGGGTTTACAAACGTAACTCATCACTCTTTTCTAGCCTTGTTCATCAAGCCCCCCCAGCATTGAATAAAACATGCTGCTTCACAATCTGGATCATTCTCAGCTTTATTTCAAGTAGTGCAAGATTTGGAAGATTTAGACACATGATACTATTTACCAGGTGTGTTTGAAGGTTTAATACTGCCATACTTAACTACTCTTATCCAATATTAACCCTAGTGCGTGTGTATATTTGTTTTTACTTGTTTAATCCTTAAACTGAATTCCTGTGGTTTGAGGGAGATGGGCTTAAAATGTCACAATATGATGATTCAACAACATTTGAAAAGATGAAACATTCACAAAAGTCGATGAATTTCAGAGTTAAAAATAGACATGTGAAAAAAAAGTCGAAATTTTAAAAAGCACTGCATATTCCGGATAAAAAGTCCTATCAAGTAAATTACAAACAGCAAATAAAAATCAAGGGTACTATCCGAAATGGTTTTCATGGAAACACTGACTGACATTTCCCTGTACTTTATTTTTTGTTGTACCTACTTAGGGAGTCATTTGGGATTGGAAATGCACACATTATTGCACACAATTGTCATAGTATGGGTCATCAATTTACTGGGATTTAAAACCACCATTGCAAACAATAATTTATCAAAGTTTCAGAAAATTCTCATCTCCAAGTTGGTCATGATCGTCCTTGAACATCCTAGAATAACAGAATAACTAATGTTCTCATATCAGCAAATTTTGCAATTTTTTTCAACTTTCCACAACAAGTTTATGCTGTTTTTGAATGCTGTAGATGTAGAAACATGGAAAGTATGCATGAAGTCAGTATGCTGGGAGAATCACTGATACAAACCGGATATCGATACAACCTGTGCTTCTCCTACTTGTCAATCTGTCCCTTAGGTCTCTCCATACAGCATATAATAATCAAGTATATATCCTACTGGTACCCTCTCTCACATTGAAAGTCATTATGTCTTACTTCGTTGAAGTTAAGTATGTATTGGGTGATGAGGGAATTCTGTCTTTACACCTTTTTATTCCTGCTAGTGCTAAAAAAACATGAATAGTATCGTTTTAATATGTAGTCCTTGTTTCGATGGTGGTATCAGGTGCCTTTATTTGTCCTACCAAATGCAATTCCCGTCCTAAGCCTTGAAATATCACGTTTTCATTTTCGCCATCATGCCACCAGAGACCAAGTAATCTCAGAGGGTCAAAACCCATTCCACTGCATCCGTACCGAAATAGATTCCACCATGCTTTGTTTGTTTCTGCTACATTATGTGTTGTAATTTTACTTTCAATGAATAAATTAAACAACACCTAGAATTGTCCTCATACATATAAATATATATAGAAGACAAATGGTTCCTGTTCTATGAGTCCACAAAATCGTATTTATTTCAACAACACAATATCACTGTAATGATATCTTCAAATTGTTATTTGAACCGTTCAATCTTCTGTATCTTAATTTTCTGTTTTGACCACAAGCAAGACTTCTGATATGATGAACAACAATATTAAAAATTTCAAAGACAATACCCTTCTTATATTTTAATTTTTGTTTTCAATCTTTAATTTATGTTGATAACAAATGAAACTATCACCTCAATAAAATTATTACACAATTTGTTTTGTGGCATCATTTAAAATATTTAAATTTAGCCTTGCTTTGTGTGAAATTTATTTGTGTTACTAGGATAATTCACTATTCGGTTACTTTATTATCATGACGACTTTTGCTTCTCATTTAACACAGCCTGAAGAAAGAAGTCAATGCTATTCAAATACCAGTCCTGTTATGTTTTTTTGAGGCCATAGCAACTACAATTTTTGTTTTCCAGTTTGTAACAATAAAGAATTAAATTCTTTATTCACTATCGGTATATACATTTATTTACCCGGATGTTGGATTAAGACTGGCGATACTACCATACCATACCAGCACAAAATTTAAACTCCTCTTTTTTTGTTAAAATGTATAATTAGCGGGAATTTATATCAAAAAAGCTCCCTCAGTTTGTCTCAACCAAAAATATTATTTTTAAGTCAACATGCTGTATTTGTACATGTTTTCTATATTTGTTTTCTTGAAATGCCCATGGGCTAGACTGACTGTTTTCATATGTGATTCAAATGTCATCTCAACCTTTCTTGCTTTGATTTGTCAACATCTAATAACATTGGTCACATTTGAGTTGATTTAACGAATAGAACTAACAAAAGTAAGTCGCATGATCTTTTATTTACACTGTACATGTAATTTTTTAATTCCATAATTTTCTCTTCTTTTTTTTTAACGATAAAAAGTAAAGCTTTTTTTTCAACATTTATTTTAAAGCGGGGTGGTGCCTTTTAAACACGTGTAGTTATCGTCGGCTGGAACTTAATTTCTGCACGCGCGCAGGTGACAATCCTCCTGCTTTAAATTCAAAACATCCATGATTGTATTCATGGGAGCGGCCTAATAAACTATGAATATCTTGAATAACCAAAATTAAAAGTCAACTAATAAACATTTTAAACTACTGAATATACAAGTTAGCTAAATTAGCTACATCTTTGGAGGTTTCAGTTACCTAATGTTTTACTGTATTGTGTTGCAATTCAATATTTTCAGTTTTTCACTAGAATATTTATCCAGTTTCTCCAGCTGTAAATACCTAGAAAGCTACATGTGTATGTTAATTTTAATTTTACCTTATATTTTACTCAAATAGTGCAAGCTAAAGACAATTTTACAGTTAGTGTTCTGTATAACAAATGATTAAATTGTGTAAATACCTCCAAATTCAACTTAACGAACTTATTGCCAAAAATATTTGTGTCTCCATACTTTAATATTTCCATTGTATAAAAAAAAAGTTTCTCGTCTTAAAAAACAAGTTGAAGTAAAAGTTCATTCATCAATTTAGAAGTACATGATATATTTCATTAAGTACTCTTGTATCTTGCATTAGAATCAAAGTTACCCCACTGCGATGAGTACAATCTATCTTGAAAAGACAAATCCATGGCATAAAGCACTTTCATATAACATGAGGCAGTTTCCATGACTGTTTTGTCAATTGCTATTTTCTTTTGTGTTCAGATGGCTGTGTTTGTAATAAATTTGTTTTTTCTAATAACCACCTATTCATATTGGGGGGATTGAAAAGTTTTTGGAAATTTTGTTTGAATTAACTTAGTTTTATATCTTTATTTCATTTCATTGGCCAATTCCAAAAGTTTTTAGAGTGTCTATTAATTTTGGCTTTATAGTTTATTACTTCAAAACTTTAAAATTGTTGGATGGGAGAGAAACAAAGTTCTTCGTTTAAAAATACGCAGAGCGCCCTCTACTGACAGTAATGAGAAAATGGTTGATAAAAATGAATAAAAACCAACAGAACAAAGTTGTTTTGCTGTAAGCTCCAGTTCCTTCTCACTAATGTGTATGTGCCTATGTTTTATTAGGTATTTTTTCAAATCAAGTTTTTATTAATTAGACATATCCTTTCACTGTTTCAGAGCAATGTTCTGTTTTCAATAACAAAATTACAATTATTACTAATATTATGAAATAAGATTTATTAGGTATTTTCAAATCAAGTTTTTATTAATTTTTTCAAATCAAGTTTTTATTAATTAGACATATCCTTTCACTGTTTCAGAGCAATGTTCTGTTTTCAATAACAAAATTACAATTATTACTAATATTATGAAATAAGATTTATTATCTTCATTTATTTGTTATGATGTTAGCTTCTATTTTAACAGCAGTGATTTTTATCTATTGTAAAACTGAATTAATGTTTGCTACATTATATTAATTAATCCATACTGCACGACAGAAAATAACAACACATGCTGCTATTTCATCATGATGTATTTAAAAAAGCTCCCTTTAAAAACATCCTTCTCTAATTGCAAACATAGATTTTTATTTATAGTATCTTCATAAAAATATTAATAATTCTATTATTGAAGTCAGAATATTCTCCATTTATGGTGGTGTTAGATGCAAACTTGCAGTGGGGGTATATTTTTTTTTTTTAAAGTAGCAGTCGTTCATGCATATTGGTGTTGTCATGGCAACCTTACAATGATGCAAGTGATACCCTGTTGCTATAACAACAGGTGGTTTTCTGACTGGTTGAGTCTCCCTGCCAACAGATCTCTTATCACCCCTTAATAGAAGTGGTATGACCCAAGTGCTTTTACTATAGTGAGGCGAATGGCAATTGAAGAGAAAAAATAGTCCCTATGATAACAATCCTCTGGGATGGTGGAGGATTACACTGACTTCATGGTTTGTGAAGTGGCTGAGGTATATCCACACAACAATATTGATGTATTATTGCACCCTAGCCACAGCTAAGCATACGATACTTGTTCACTGTATGAAGTTTTCACATGATGAAACCATTCTAACCTAACGGAGCTTACTACGGCTATCGTGGATGTTGACAAAACCGTGCACGGAGTAACCTTTTGTTTTGATATGTTGGGGAACATACCATGGCTACCCGGAAAGACTTCCCCAGATTTAAAAAATGCAAGAGTGCCACTTTCAACATTGATGGTTACAGTTACATGATAGGTAGGATGAATGTGTTTTCTTTTATTTATATATCAGTGTATAGTGCCCTTCCTCATTAACCTACCCATATTTTACCTGACAAAATTACTTGAAAACAAATGATTTTGTTCTTCATGAGGTATTTATCATTAGCTTTTGAAAAAAATAATTATTATATATTAATTTGAAAAATTATTACTCAGATAAAAAAAATATTAAGCTGTCGTAAGGTCCGGATATACAAACAGGAATAGACAGTTGTATGAAATAATTGAAGCGGTATGGGGCATTTTTAGTCATTAATAAGTCCTCATCGGCTATATCAAAGCATAACCAGTCGGTGACTGACTTAATGATGTAGCAGACACAAACAGTTATGTCATGATCCCACTGACATATTAGTTTGTTCTATTCTAACCTTTTGGCCAAGGTTTGTTAGATTCGGAAACAGAGCTGGCCAATAGATATCCTGTAGTGGAAAGAGCATTAACTGCCAAATTAAAGTACAAATAAATTTTAAATGTATTTTGTCATACTGGGACTTCAGCACCCTGTGAGTGATAGAGCATAGACTTCTTGCTGTATCTATACCATTTCTAGTTTTAATAAGATTTTTTATGGATGTGGCTGTTAGGCAACTGCTTATTAACCTTATGTATCTCATTTTTAATTAATTTTAATTGAAAATGTAAATACATATTCCTAATGCTGACTATAAATCGATTGACTCCATGAATTTACTGTTAAATGTTTTGATAGTAAATGTGTTTTTTTATATTAAATTTAATGATTATTCTCGCATTTTGTATTTGTCTTTTTGTTACTCCAAGCTGTGTACATGAACATGTATATTAACCTTGGAATTACTATTGTTATTCAAATCAAAAGGATTTTAAATTTATATTTCTATTGTTTTTTTTCCTCCATGAGAAATAATCAGTTTATGCAAAAATAGAATATATTTAAAACCAAATATTCTTATGCAGATGATCTCTATTTATTGAAAAGGTTAAATTTTGCATGATGCTAAATGTACTTGTTGAAGCCTTAAATTAGGTGGTACTGTTCACTGTAATGAAGTTATTTATATCACACAACATTACAAACAAGACACCCACCTTTTACTGTATAAGCTATAACCATATTCCACAATTTGAAGATATTCTGATATCAGGGAATATTGTATTTTTCTCCTAAAAGGTTTACTCTCACTGTCCTCAGAAGCATATAACATCGCAAAAATATAATTATATAATTCCCTGTATCAGAGACACACCTCCCCATCAGAAACACGCATTACGTACAATGCGTTTTTATCACTATTATAAGTAACTCTTTTATCGCAGGACGGCTGCTTCATGTCTGTTCATGGACTAATTGTTATATAAATAATCTAGCTGATTATATACTCCTTTAATAGTACTGGTCTATATTTCTCTTTTTATTCAGCTCTACTATGCCTAATACTTGAGTGTCAGCTTACGTAGCGTAGTCTTGTATTATTAGCGTCATCTTTTCCATCGCATTTATCAGCTTTCAAATACAAAATAAGTGTGTTGCATGGCAACTATTATCTATAAAAAACAGACAATATGGATTAATTTTCATATTTTGTTAATATTTCTGTTCCATATTTGTTGATTGATGATGATTTTTTATAATCAAAACATTGTTTTCTGACAGCACACAAAAACATTTTGTAATGTGCCTACTCTTGGATTTTCTGGTACGTACCATTAATTCAAGGTATTTAGTCCAATGTAATATTTCTTACTAGTATACAAATTCTGTAAATTGTTGATGATGTTAATATTATAACAATCTGAGAGCTTGTAAAAACATTTTTGTTGTGTGGAAAATGCTGCAAGAGAACAGCTTGAAAACTACTTGCATTTTGTTCTCAGATGAAAAACTCTTCTTACTATATACTACTGCTTGTCATAGGATTCTAACATCCTGACAGGGAGTTTTTTTTTTTGTTGGTTCACAACCCTAGTCTACTCATCATGGTTATTTGTCTATGTTGGTACAATTTGTCCTCATTCTTTATTTGGAATTTTATGTAGACACCCTGTTCGATGACTAAAAGTTTATTTTGAAAAAAAATATCGCTATTAAGAAGGTAATATTTCTGCCGATTTTGAAAACCATGGCACTTGAAGTTGGTTGATATCACTTATTCATAGTGGTTGACACTTGCATGTAGTATCATTGGCTAGTATTACCGTATCTAAGTATGTGTACATGTGTAAAAGTAATAATGGTAATAGTGAGAATCTGGAAACTGCAAATTGAGATATCGTAGTATGACAGTTTTTGTAATAAGACCAATTCCAGGGGGAGTTAACACTATGATAAACTGCGAGAATCATTCTACATATGGGTCTACAGATGATTGCGTCAGTGCACTTGAGAATAAAGAGAAAGAAAATTTGAATGGTGTATGCATCTCTTGTGAACTGGAAAATTAGAACTGATCGCAATTTGTGAAAAATCTCTCACTTGGGAAAATACAAATGCGACTCATTTACTATCAGCCATTCCACTGACATGTTCTATATATTTTCTCTACTTTTGTTACTGTATTCCTGTTATATCTTGTACCAAAGTTTGATATATTGGTTTATTGATCGTGATCGTGATACCTGTGAACTAACAAGCATATAATCAATGCATGTGTGTTTCATGAGAGGAACAGTTATGGGATAATGGACGAGGGATGCAGGGAGGATATCTGTTCAAATGAGAACTAAATAAAGAAATATCAGCATGAACAGTGACTTAACCATTTTCACCACAAGTTCCCTCTTTTCAGCAAAAATTCAACATACAATCCTGTTTATAGTCTGCACTTTCCTTCAAAAGACTGGGACAAAAACAACCAATTTTTTTTTTTTTTTTTTGTAAAAATTTAAAATTGACTCAAATTTTGTCTGTAGGCTTCAAAATTAGGTTTCCTTTCCAGAAATATTAAAGAATATAAGAAAAAAGTGCGGAAAAAATACGCCAAAACTTCATAGCCCACCCCCTAGTTATGTGTAAAACATCATTGGCTGTTTTTTTCACTCTTTGCGAAGTGTGTTGTTACACCTTGGCGTAAAACTATTATAATATTCCCTAGATTGGGTGATTTTTAAATGAATTCAAGCTGACTCGCATATGTTGTATCTCTAATTGTTTTCAATACTGATTTTTTCAAAGATGTATCAGGTTGTTTATAGATGATTACGTCATAGTTGTTTTGTAATGTACTATCTGATCTTTACACTCTCAACTAGAGCCCTTTCACCACCTTTAATAGTCATCTCTTGTCTCCTAACAGTATCGATAAAGTAGTCCTTATTTTTTTTTTTTTTTTACAGTTATATTTAGAACACCAATGCACTTACAACGCCATATGCGAATGGTGTTTTTTTTTTTTTTTTTTTCATTTAAACAATATTTTTATTTTATAAAAATAAAAAGTAGTCCTTATTACTGTCTGCTTGTTTCAAACTGAAATACTGACAAGCTCACGAACATCTGGTTTCTGCTAAAATAATAAAAAATAAAATAAATGAAAAATGTCAAAAAAAATACTGTCACAGAATCAAAACCCTTCTTTAATTAACCTAATATCAAGCTTTTAGTTTGGTCAAAAATAAACATTTATATTAAAAAAATGAAAAACAAACAGAACGGTGATGAAAGTACTTGTGTGTGTATAGAACTGAAACATTGCCTCAATTTTGATAGAAAATACAATCCTAATTCTGGATTAAGTTCACTAAAATGACCATAAAATATACTTGTCATAAGTATATTTAAATAACCATTTTCGTTTGCCAGACAATGATTGGGAAATTATGCTATGATATTGTTCTAACATTGAAAAGGTGACGCAGACAAATCCCATAAAAGTCGTGTACATTTAGAATGCAATGAAGAATGATTGATGATGATGAAATGGACTGGTAATATCTGACAGAGACAGAGTAATTTGAACAAGCTGTTATTTTCTAAATTTGGGGGGAAAGGTGGGGGTTTTTGCCAGAAATACAATGTTTATTGAATGCAAGATTATCTTCTCAGTTTATGAATTGCAGATTTGTTATAGACAATAAAAAATAAACATTTTCCAACTACAATTATGATTTGCCAGCTTTGAGGGGCAGTTATTGGCATAACAACTTCACTGCATTGAAAGTACATGCAAGTATTAACCTTTTCAACACCAGACCACCTTGCCCAAATTTTTCTGCACTTTTTTCTTATAATCTTTAATATTTCTGGAAATGAACCCTTATTTTGGAGCCAACAGACAGAATTTGAGTCAAATTTCAGTTTTTACTCAAACTTTTGCTATTTTTGTCCCAGTCTTTTGAATTAAAGTACATAGTATAAACGGGCACTATTTTGTGAATTTGTGATGAAAAGGTTAAAGATGGATTAGATTTTTTCATGCTAAAATTTTGGTATAATATTTGCCACATTTTTATGTAATTCTTTGTTAATTCTAGATCAAATTGTCATATTTCCCTATTGCAGGGCTTGATAAACATTTTTTAATAGATACTGAAAAATTGATTCTGGGAAAAGTAATAGAAGTTGACTTTGGCACTTAGAGGGTAATTGAAACTAGAATCATCTTGTCATTGCATGTATAAATTGGATTGTGACCATAAAGATTTATGTTGAATAGTGAATGTTGGTAAAATGACTACTATTGCAAAAAAACTTCATTTCACAAACGGCTACAATCTTCATGAAATTGACAAATGGGAACTGTTTTTTAGATAAGAGAACATTTAGTGAACATTTCTGATAGTGCTAATAGAAAAAAATAACGAATTATTTAAATTAAATTTATTGGTCATGGAATCGTGTTGTATATGTAGTGTACCATAATTCAATTACATCTAACGCAACACAGAAAATTGCTTTTGTCAGTGAATATCCACTGTAGAGGAAGGATTTTGTTATGTGGTCAGCTGTTTGTACAGCATTGACAGCATATACGTACATGTAAGTAAAACATGTGA